TCTCTAGCTATTAAGAAAATTATGATGAACAAATAAACATTTGTATTGAAACATTTATAATACGTTCTCTAATTATAATTCAAGCTTACTTTAATTAATAACTAAACTAAAATAATTGGTTGACACATGTTATTTTTCTATTTTTGGTAGTCCCTCTGCAGTTTAATAGATGTGGACGTCCGCAGACAAATAAATTGAAACATTGTAAATATTGCGAGCAAAAACCTAGCCAGGGAATACTGATATAATTAATGATAAATAAGATCAGCGATACGTACATTATACTTTAATTTCAAACGAGACTTGAACAAACAACTCATCACACAATAAAACCTACACCGAGGCCGCCTGGGCGTGCAACAATAAATAAAAACTCCGGAGCACGCAAAACAAAAAGATCGCTGAATTATAAAACGGTTTTAATTTACAAAGTTTTCGCGTTTTATGGAATCCATGTAGGGAAATGTAATAAGCAAACTTTCGTCCAAACAATTTTAACTATAGTTTTTATTGTATTGTACTCCGGAGTATTTATTAAACAAGTACTTTAGATTGCATACAAGTTTTGGGCCCGAGTTGTTGCCAGTCGCTGTTTCGTTATTATGGTTTTATCCCCTGATGTTCAATTGTAATTTGCAAAAAAAAAAACCATTTCGGTTTTGTTATAAGCGAACGGTAGTGAATATAATTCAACGGTAGATCCAAAAGGAGGTGACAATGAGGAAACCGTTCTTGAGCTTTATATAGGTACTGGCCATCTAAGTATAAAAGTCGTATATACATTTTTGCCTACATTGTAAATAAATATAGTAAATCTTAAAATTTTATTCTAGTGTCTATATTATATTCTCTTATATTCCACTTCCATAAATAAACAATCCTTCTTTATGAAAAGGGGCTCTTTGCATTTTATTTTCTATCTATAGCTTTCCTGAAGATAGAATAAATGTTACAATCAAAATCTGTTCATAATTTTCAGACATAAGTACTATCTATAAAGACTAGACATAAGGAGACGAATCGGCTTACTCAAAATACGGTCCCAAAAAACACATGCTAATTTAATTTGTTTATTCACTTACGGTATCATCGGAAAACAAATTTGAGAAAACATGGAAAATGTTGTAGCCATATAAAATTTGCTCATAATTTAGACTTTTCTTGCCTTACCATTTTTGACTTTCCTTAAGAACCTACCACGAGACGAAGTAGTTTGATTTCTAATCTTTAACCTAAAACGAATATAATCATTATAACAAAGGACAGAACTCAACAAGTTCTATAATTAACCGCATGGGCGCTGGTACTGCATACGTTGTTCAAAATACATGGTTTCTTATAAATTAATTTATCTGTATATATTTAATCAACCGATTTAACCTCTCTTTATCGATACTATTGCGTCCCATGGGGGAGGCTTTACCTCCCAAACACCCCCGTGGCTACCCCACTGATGCTAAGTATTTATCAATGCCACCTCGTACAAACAACAAGCCGAGAAAACGCTGAAGTGAATTTTCAATAAGCATCGGTTGAGTTTTAGGCGGTGGTACGTGCTGCATAAAGAACGTCGAACAGTTGGTTGTTCGTTCGAGAGGCTACTTCTACTTCGTTCAATACTTCTTCTTCGCATTTATTTCGTCTACTTTCTTCGTCGACGCACGCCGCGCAAGGGTGCGAAGGGAACACCGTTCGTCGTCCTGAGAGATACTCTGTCTTACTGCGGTAAAAAAATTATTGATTGATTCCGCTTTCGTGGCACCAGTTGCTCGAGGCTATTATTAAAGTAGGTAGAGGTATAAATATATCTATAGTTTCATTAGGAGAGTAAAAGTTTAACAAAATTTTAATTTATGTCTTATTTTCGTTAGCAGACGCAGCAAAAATTTATTTTATCGATTTTATTCCAAGAATTATAAGTTTAAGGAACTTCCAGTCAAGTAATAACAAATATGTTTTTTCATTCTTTGATTAAGTTTTTTCTCGACACCAAAATAGAGATAAATTTATCTGATTTTTTCTTTTGCAAATTTTACAATGATATTCTGAACATTTATATAAACTTATATAATCATTCTATGACTATTAAAATATGTCCGAAACTAATATGTACCTATAGCACAAGCGTTTGTCTATATTTTTAATTTTAAAGTTATTGAATTCTGACCTTACTAGTAATGCTACCGTGATTTCACTGTGCACAAACATTATACAAGGACGTACTCATTCGCCTGTTTGAGCAAAATTCATAGCGCGACGGTATTTTAAAAAATGATTTTCAAAATTTTCAAAATCAAAATTCTCGCAATTTCCAAAATCAAAATTCTTCTCGAAATTTACCAGTACAAAATGCATTCAAAAATTATTTAAGACCTTATTCCACTCCAAAGATCAAATTTGCAATACAATAACAATAATTATGTTTCACCGAATCAAAATAGAAATTTTTTAAGTAATTTTAACACACCTAATGATTTTTTCTACAAACAAATAAATAACTTTCCGTCTCAACCTATTAATGTAAATTCAAGACCCATACAACGTAATTATCCAACTAATGCCCTAGTTTTTGGACAGAATTATCTAAATAAAAATACAAATGTATTCAAACCAAATCAAAAAACAAATTTACAAAACCCTACACTCATGCCAAAATCAACTAAGAATACTAGACAAAATTATTCGAAACCAGGATCTTCAAATTATTTTAGAAATCCGGCGGGTCAGTCACTAAATTTTACCTACGAAGAGTTATTTACCTCTCAAATATAACCTATATATAGTAATTCAATGGTAAATAAATATAATAATGAATATAATGATTCTGAAGAAGTTAATGATAAAGGTCAAACTCCAAATTTTTGGTAAAGGCATCGGAACAAAATAAAAATATTGGTTGATACAGGATTCTAAAAATCATTTATTAACCCTGAAGTAGCTGAAAAATTTTACCCAAATGATATAATAGATAAACCATTTGTAGTGATTACAGTTTTTCAGAAATCGGCACATCAACATAGTGCAAATATTGATGTCTCTAAAATTTTTAATCTTAAAAAACAGCCTTCAGCACAGAAAATGCTCATTATGAATTTTGTAGAATGCCATTCGGTTTAAAAGGGACACCTGCCACTTTTCAAAGAATTTCAGATAATATTTTTAGAGGATTACAAGATGAAACATGCTTAGTATACTTAGATGGTATAAAAGTTTTTTCTACATCCCTTCAGAAGCATATTGAACGTTTAAAATCTGTATTTCAGAAATTAAGGGGCGCTAATTTTAAAGTACAGTTAGATAAGTCAGATTTTCTACGGAAAGAAGTTACGTATTTAGGGCATGTTGTGACACCAGAAGGAGTAAAGCCCAATCCAACGCCTCGGAACAAAATAACTCTTAACAAAATCCCGTACAGATTTCAATAAATTTAATATAATTTATATAATTTTCCCTGAGCATAATTTAAAAATATTGGTGGACAGAGGACCCTCAAAATAATTCATTAACCCTGAAGTAGCTGAAAAATTAAAGCAATACATTTTAGCACAAGATCTTGGCCACTAGTAAGCACAAAGCCATCACGAGCGCCATTATGCAAAATAATGGTTTTTCTCTCAACGTAGAGATGCAACTAATTACAGAATTACTCAATAAGATGCAGGTCCAATTAGATGTTATCAGAGTTTATCAAAAAAGAAACCCAATCCAAATGAAAGGACGTCTGCAAAAATTCAGCTAGAAGCATCAAATTAATTCAAATCTTCTTCTAATGATTGTTAAAAATTATGTAAAATAAATTAGTAATTCGGATAAAAACTCATTTCATATCCGAAACAATTTGAATTCTGTTTTTTTGATTCGTGATATGCATAATTTCCAGTCGAGATTAGTGGCGTGAACGAACACATCTCAAGATTTATCCGAGCAGCAGCAGTAGAAGCAGCAAATGTTGTTTTTGCAATTAATATCGTCAAAAGCAGACATTTGATAAATTTATCAAAGAAATTTCTAGCAAAAGCATCGCCTAACGCAAAGTAATAAGTGAAAACAAAGTAATTTATCAAATAAATAGAGTCTATTGTTACCCAACCTTGTGTTTTACGAAATACACCATCCAAAATATGGACTTGAATTTATCATCTTCTATCGTTTTGCTCTTAAAATGCTTGCCGGTTATTGTTTTTCACACCCTTTCGCAGAAATTAGGTAGATACGCGGGGGAAAGATAAATGCTGAATATACGCTCGGATAGAAATTATACTTAGAAATATGGTATCATTAATAATTTCGTATTTAATGTTGCACTATTTGTATTCATTTACTCCCACTTTTAGAGTGAAATTTAAAATATTGCGCAATCCATCCACTCGTTCGCTACACTTTTATATCAGCGGCGGATGGTCAGGGGAAGCAGATGAGACAGTGCCTCACTATATTATATTATTTGTTTAACAACCTTCAAAAAAGTTAGTAAGCTGTGTCTTATATATTGTGATGATATGAAACCATAGAAGAGTCATTTATTTACAAATTTCTCAGTGTCAAGACAGTGACAAATTTTTGATTGGTGAAATTAATTTAAATAGTACTTAGGTTTTTTTAAAAAATATATGAATTTCTCTAAATTAATTGATATGAGTCCATTTCAAAAACTTCTAAAATCCACTCAACCATTTTTTTCAGAAAACGAATAAAACCTCTCACCGTTTTCATAAACACATTAAATTTTTTATAATTATCTTGGTATTATCATGGTGTATTACTACTTTATTCGTATGCATTAAAATAAAATTGTCATGGAAATAAGCTCAGAATTAAAAAAAAAATGGATTTAAACAGTTTTGACACAGTACGATGGATATAAAAAGTTTTGAATAAGTCGGAAGTGGATAAAAGTAAAACAATCTTTTTGTTATAGAAAAAACTTTAATATCAATGTAAGTTTGATTTTAAAAAATCATTGAAATCAAAGAGAAAATTAAAAAATGGAATATCCAATATCAGATCCTATTTTCTTCCACGTTGGGGAGAGTGGTATCTTCATCAGGCGCTTTTAGTTGATTATCATTATTACTATCAATAATCCTTTGATAAAACGTTAAATCTACCCCACACACGTTTCTCCAATCTGCACCAAAATGCTTTTTCAAAAGGTTATCTACATCATTTAACTTCACTGGATTGACTGGAACTTTTTGGCAATAGTTCTGGCATAATAGTCGCTAGACTTTTTCCTTTTTTCAGCACATACTTGTACACTCCCATATCGGCGCGGTAATTAGCTTTTTTTCTGATAAACTAGCTTCTTTCTTAATTATTATCCGCTTCGCCGAAGAAAATTGGAAATGCCATTGACTAGGTGGTTTCACATGAGTCTCTACTGCTTTTTTCCAATCAAAAACGTCAAAGTAACTTTTCATGTTTAGTACAGTCGCAAACTAGGAAAATATAGATCTATACTCCTTTGGATCAATTGTGACCTCTTTTCTTTTCACAACCTTCTCTATTATTCCGATTCTGTCTGGTGGTAAATATGAGTGGTAAAGGAGTATGAGGTAAATAAACAACAGATCTGGTAAGATCCTATTCATCGGCATCCCTACATAGGCAAAACAACGAAAATTACATTGGATAACAATAAAAATACTAACCTATGATAGTGACGTTCTTGGTTTGTCCTGGGCATCCATCGCAATAAAGTTTCAATACAGTAACGTTTGTAAGGCTCAAAGAAGTGATTTTTGCATGTAACATCGATGAAATTTTATTAGATTTCTTGCTTCTGAGATTTTCTGTCCATGTATAACAAGTAATAGTTTCCTTTGTATGTTTGGCTTTCGAATGAACTTCGCAAATTGTGAAGTTGTGTAGGTACAACTGCCTAGAATAATAGGCGATCTGATCGGAAACCCGAGGAAGAATCATATTTTTTTGGCAATCAAATGTTAATTTGATTACGTTCTCTTTCGAGAATTGTAGCATTTCAATTTCAATTTGCATATTGGTTCAGTCTTCATTTGCCCAGTTGAGATTGAAATTAGACCTTTTAGTCTAATACACTCTGAACAAGCCTCTGTTGAAGGGCTCTTAAAACTGATATTGTAGTGTAACCAACTGAAATAAAGAGAGACAACTAATCTCTATTTCTCTTACAAGAGTATCATATATAAAATGGTGGCGTGATCGACTATGAAGTGACTAGGACACTACGAGTGACCGACTGAAAGATTGGCTACTTACGTGTTATTGAGGGAGTCGTAAAGGTTAAAAGAAAATATCTATTGATTTATATCTAATCCTTACTGTACTGAATTATTTTGCCAGGAAATAAAAATAGATGATGATTTGTGGAGAAATATTATGCTTCCAAAACTTGTAATTTTTTGAAGCCCTAAATTATTTTAGGCTGTAAATTAAAAAAATTAAAATGTCTGAATCCTCCTAGGATTTTAAAAGCGACATCGGCGGGCCATAAAAATTTTTTTTTACACCCAGAGGTCATTCAGGGTGACTTTATTACACATATAAATTACAAACATAAAAAGTAACCTATATATTGTTCTTTTATTTATTGCTAAAAATTATGTTAACGACTCTGAGCCAATGTTATATTATTTGCCTAAAATGTAATCCGCTTATCGTAGGATGGATTAAAGCTAAAGTTTAAAACTTGGTGCTTCTCTTTCCATTTCTGAATTATCGTCAAAACGTAAAGATATCCAACACAATTAGCAAGCAATCAATTTTTGTTAAATTCCGTTTAGTCGTTTTTCTAAATTAATATTTACCACATCCGTATATACAGACATTTTTCGGACTCCAAAACATAAAATAAATATCTCGAGGTATAAAGTACCAAGGCTTTCCCTCATTACTTACATAGCCTTTATGCTTTCGCATATTTTGAATATGTATATAATTCTTAAAATATTTAAAAAATCGAATACAAAACAACTTAATAACTGAAATGATAAGCATATTATTAGTAAACTGCTAAATACGGACCTGCGTATTTGAATTTCTCTACGGTACTAATCTGTGGCTACTAATATACATTTCTAAGAAGTTTTTTTTATATGCAAGATAACTTATCATTGTATAAAGAACTATAGTAGGATAATTTCTATCTAAAAGTTATTGGAGGCAATTTTAATTGGTTTACAATGTATATTTGACATGGTAATTCAAAATTGTTTTCCTTTTTTATTAATCTATTATTTTGTAGTACAAGTATTATTATATGTATACAATGTAATTTGGCATAAATGATTTTGAATATTTAACTATCTCTAGGAGAGTTTGGAGTTTAGATTTTTAGCCCTTTTCGGACTTTAACATGACAAACTTATATATGTACACTCGGAAAGCAGTATTTACAGATTCACGTCTGACTGGGATGTAAATTTAAGCAAATGAAGTCACAAAACGCGCTGGTAAGTGAAGTATGAGAGAAGAGAGACATTTTAAGTAAAACACGGCGGATTAGAGGTTTTAAAACCTCAAGTTTGCGGAATTAGGTAAGTTCTTGACTAAATCCACGCTACATGCCATATAAGAATGGATTAACATGAACATACAGATAAAACTAACCACAGCTTTCTTCATGATTTATGTGCAGACTTTAAGTTCCTGCTTAAATAACTTTTGGATTTGCACTAACAATTCTAGCTTTTCGATGCAATAGCACAAACGTATGTAAATTACTAAAAAACTTTTGTCACTATTTAACAAATAATGCTTCATTGCATTCAGTCTTCACCTATTAAACAATAGTATATTGTTTAACGAGCAAAGGAATGGTACTAATTTCTTACCAATACGATATTTACATAAAAAATTAATTGTTAATTTTGAGAAACACATTTTTATATTTGTAGTTAGAAATCGTATTTAATGAAATAGTGATTTAAAACCATCATAATACAACAAATCAATGAATAACAATGAATATTTGAGAAAAAAACTTGACACACATAACTGTAATGAGTCCAAAATGAATTAAGGCTGTTCTACCGCTTTCTATTGGTTCATCCATTTCTTAGATTATCTCTGTATGCAATCCTCCCTTTGTTTATGTAAAGACAATTGTACATGTAATAATTCTATCTTTCCTCCGTTCAGTCTAATGGGACGCCTGTCTTTCTCGATATTCATCTCCACCTGAAACGCGGGCTGGCCAAATTTATCGGTATATTGTAAATATTGTTATAATAGTAATTTCTTTGCAAAGAATATTTTTATTTATTACTTCGACGATGGACTTGAAAGTTTTCTTTCTTCATCTAGTGGAATTATTTTTTAAATAAATAATTAATTACATTTAAATTGATTTTATTTATATAATTATTGATCGTATTTTTTGTAAATAAACATTACTGATTACTAATATTGGATAATATAAACTTGATATCTGCGCGAAAGCTTTGGATGACTTTATTTATGGTATATTTAAAGTAAGAAACTGATTTTGGAAAGTGCTTTAATATACAGTGGTACATAATATAAAATATTTTTTTTTTTTTTTAATAATCGCATCAATCTCACAATAATTAATTTGTAGTGTAGACGAAAAATTTGTTGAAATCTATTTTATCGTAAGCATGTATATTTTATTGTACATAATACTTTGTTTTAATTTCATAAAAAAATAAAATGTATTGGTTTTATCTTTTCTTCGTTCATTGAAAGTAAAAATAGGTCACAATAAATTAAATTCTTAAATAAAAAAAAATTTAATTACCTACTATTTTTAATGAAACATTTTATATCACATAACAAAATACAATTAGAAAAAAAAAATAAATTACATCAGTTTCTTCTTACAATTTTTTTTATTAAATATTTTTATTAAAAATCAACTAACTTTGGTTCAGCACGTAACCAAAAATTGTCATCTCTTTCAATTTTCTCAACAAACATTCCTAGTGGGGTTCAAAATATAAAATAACAATATTTGGTTTTCGTTATAGCCCATTATCCTTGTACCTGATACTAATAATTATCTTTTTTTTTAATTTAATTTGGCCATCTGTATTCTCAATTAGTTTTTGATTCTAGTAAAAACTTGTAAATAAAAAAACAACAGAAAAAAATCAGCTACAAACTTCAGTTTTCCAAAAATTGATCAAATTTAATATTAATTTTTAGTTTTTATTTAAAAAACTAGGTCGTAACAGAAAAATTAATAGACTAGACATTATTAGGGTGCTTCTTTTGAATACTTCAGCAAAAAATGAAATTACTGATGATAAATAACTAAGATACATGGATAATGCTAAAATAGTGAACCGCGAAAACAGCCTTGTATATCAGTACCACTTGAGGTCCTCAGTTTTAAAGCCTTTAATACTTTCTTGTTTTTCCTACTTTTACATTTTTGTCACATTTGAATTTGGAATTATTTTCTTTAGATTAGTTAGATTAGGATAAAATTGTATATCGAAAAGATTATAACAATCATAAATGTTTTACTATCTATATTTATTAATAAGAAAATCAATTTATCATATTTATACAAAAAATTATTATATAAGTAATACACCAAAAGTATTGCTTCAAACCTGTAATCATACCCAAACAAAAACCATTTCGTCGAAATTGATGGATTTCCAATAAACCGGATGGTCTTATTATTTAATGAATCAATAATTTACCATCCCCATTTACGAAATGATTTATTATTTTCATTGTTATTATTGATTACGGTTATTATCCTCATACCATGTCATTAGTTCCAACGTTCAGAAGAATTTTTTTTACTTTCTGTTTCAATTTCGATGGAACATATGGTCGCGCCATCAAATTTCTTTTACTTTTACTTAATATTTCGTACCGAATTTGAAATTACCCTAATTATCACTCATAATTAAAAATATATATTATATAAAAAGAATGTACTATTTTGACGGCAGTGCAGTATTGGGAAATTTATAAATGGGTTAGAGATTACCAAATTCAAATTACAATAATTAACAGTTTTTTTTTTTTTTTTAATAATAAATTAAGGTTTTAGTATTATCTATACTCTGTTTTTAAAATAGGAGGAACAAAAGACGCATTTGTGAAGGGAAAGTAACTAGATTAGTTGCTAAGAACGTGTTTAAAATCTATGAAATTGTTGTCATTATCGGCCATTGTCGACGAACGGCCAATGGAGGTAAAAAAAAACGAATAATAAATAATTATAAAAATAACTTTATTCATAAGAAATATATAATATTAAACAAGATGCAAATGGAATAAAGTTGAGAAGTGATAAGTATTGAATACTTGTTTCTCATAAAAATCAAAATAGAATATTAGCTATGTGTTAATAAACAATAAATAGTAATAATAATAATAATAATAAACAATATACTAGAATAAAAATTAATGTATGAACAAAAATTATTATGCATTGTGTCTGTTTATATTTTCATGG